TGTTCTCACAAAAGCTAAGACACTTTGGGGTTTGCAAAAAGAAAACCAGCCATTTCTTGTGAAAAAATTGTTTATCATTTTTAGCTTTTAAACAAAACACCATGAATATAGGGAGTAAACTCATTTGCTCAGTACATGTTAATAATTATTTCAAGTAAATGCACTGATGTTTTGGGGTTGGGTTTGGTAGTAATGCATTTTAAATGACATGATAGTCAAACATCTGATTGGGTGTGTCCTTATAAGCTAGAAATGTCAGAAATAACTGATAGATGAGTATCTTTTGCAAGTGCTTTTTCTTATTTGCAGTAGTATTTGTGAAGTAATAGGAAATATTTTGGACTAAATATAAAATGAAAACTTAAAACAGGTGTTTCAAGTAACTTTCAAGTAAATTTATTGCAAATAAAAATTACAGTAGTTACTAACAGATTGAATGTATGGTTATAGTGGTGTTGCATCTTTGGAAGCAGTCCAGTTTAAAATGCAATTCCTTGAACTAGAGTGTGGAGGTAAAGGTGAATTTTTCAGTAGGAGAGATAGAAATTGTAGATCCCTGTGTCTGTTGATACTGGATAGCTGTGATCAATGATAAAAGATAGTCATCCCTGCTGGGGTACAGAATGTGCTTCTAAACATTTATAGTGTCTCTGGACTGAAAACCTTGTCAGTGGTTTATGTGATGTAAAACCAGCACTGATGGGACCATGTTGCCATCTGCTCCTCCTTCAAGGTTTGCACAGAGAGAGGAGACTGAAGTAAATGCTAACATCTGAAATTTTGTAGTATGTGGACCTTTATTTCTGGGAGTGTCTTTCTGGTTTTGCCATTGTCTTCTAGTAAGGGGCATGGAAGAATGATGCTGTATATTCCTTGTCCAGAGAATGGATCTTTTTTATCTGCCCATACACTGAATTTTAGGGGACAGCGTGACTCACTTGCTATAACATGCATTTGGCCCGTTTCTAGTCTTTCATTATTAAACTGATAATTTCCAAAACAACTCTAGACATGTAAAGAGGAAATAATGCTTGAAAAAGAATTTAAAAAGTGAGCTAAGACAAAATTGCTAAGCTTAAGCTTCAGTTCAGTGTACAATAAACAATCTACTCTTTCACCAAAAGGAGACTTTCAAATTAGTAGTGGTCTTTGCATTGGAGGAACACTGACTGGAAAAGGGGCTATAATTGTGCACTGTAGTTTATCAGTAAACATTGAGCAGGTACAAGTTTAAAGCTGGTTAATTTTACTCAAAATGGTGAATGAAAAAAAGGTCTAAATGCAGAGTGCAACTGTAGACCAGGCAAATGCAGGCTTCCTGATACCTAACAGTTAACTGGTTTCAGTTTGACTGCCATTTCTCTGTGACCCCCTTGACAATTGTGGAGCATTAGACTATTGTGTTGAACACTCTAATGTTCAGGCACTTTAGCTTTAAGAAAGAAGAAAAGTATGTCATGGTTGGAAGCACAGCAGAACTGAAACATTCTCCTGTAAGGAATGAACATCCAAGGTCAGGTTTTTTCATTGAAGGGACACAATCAATTATGTGGAGAGGACAGGAGGTTCTTGAGTTTTTAAAAATAATGCAGTGAGCACATCAGCATTATGTAATAAATTCAATAATGACAATAATAATTATGCAAAGAAATAGAATTTCATGTCAGGAATTTTAGACCTGGAGCAAAGAGGAGAGTTTGAGATGCTTGTAGAATTAGATTGCAGTCCTCTGTGTTTCAAAAAAGAGAAGTCTAAAGGTAGGTGTAGTTCTGAGGTCAGCAGGGCCAATCTAAATGCCCAGTGTGTGAGGGCTGTTAATAACTGGCACTAAAATACCTTGCTGCTTAAAACCACTGTTAAACCTGTTTGTCAAACATGAGTCTTCAGGGGGTTTATGTTGCTCTTTCACATTGCTGGTGTTACCTGATGCCCACAAACGGGTATGGCTTTAAAAGGCTATTGAGCAAAGTAGATATTCTTGGCTTAAAAACACACCAGCAGTTTGGAAATGTATTTTAATAATGGCTCTGATTGTAAAAACACTATGAAAATATTTGTCTGAATTGCAAATACTGCGTAACCCTGTCCCGAGCTCACAGGCACCATAACAGAATCTTTAGTTTTGGTTCCATTTGTTTTGTTTCTTCTTCTTTTGCTGTCCCCTTTTCTCTGTTAGTGTTGGGTTTTTTTCTCCATTTTCATCTTGTCACCTCAGGCCTATACTTGAATCCTTTTTCACAAGCTCTCATCCATTCCTTTTTTATTTTTTTTTCTTTTCTGCCTCTGTTCTTCTGCCTTCTTGCTGTCACTGAGTGTGCTCACTTAGCTCCCTGCACCAGAACTGATGGCATAGTATTTAATGTTTCTAATAATGAATATTTTTTTCTGTTCTTTGATTATATAGATCTCTTACAAAACATCTAATTTGTTTTATCTGTCAGATTTTTGGTAAAACTTTGTGTAAAAATCAGTTACAAAAGTATACTTTATGACAAAAATCCAACAATGGCTTTATTTGAAAAAACTAACAATTACAACTGGCTTTTCAAATTGGCTTTTTTTTTTTTAATGTAAAGCTTCTTTCTAGAATTAGTTCAGTGATTTGAAACTTTTCATTCTTTCAAACAGTATCAAGCTGCTGTCATGCAGAACTAGGAAAACATTTAAATAAATATTCTGAATAAAAAGGCAACTTCTTTGCAATATTGACTAGAGAAAGTCTTTAAAAAATAGCCTATAGAAGTAAACCTAAGTAAAGAATCATTTGTCTTTCATGTGCTTTTAATATTTTTATTTAGTTTCTGTGAAATTCCACCAGTTTCTAGGTTTATTTTGCTGTCTGCAGTGGTTTGCAATGCACAGATATGCTGCTGTAAGCAGCTGTTATAATGACTTTCTTGCTGGAATGGTGGAGATTTCATCTTACCATGACAGTGGAGTGTACAAATGGCTGAGCAAGAGTTCTGGGGAAAAGTTAAAAACACTGACCAGGACAGTGTTTTATGGATATGCTGCCCTGAGGGAAATCATAAAAGATAAGCTAATTTCAGCAGAAACTATGGTGTCTTTAAATATGTGTGCTTACATATCTGGATTTATGATTCTGATATTGCAAAGCGTGGTTTCTTTAGGTATTTCTGCATTTGGAATTTAAGTTTAAAGATATATATATTTGCATATATATGTGGTATGTTGAGAACTTTTACAAATGCTTCATTAACAAATAATGAATATAAGTAGCTGCTTTCCTATTGTTACCAGCTTAAGAGTTAAGCACAACTAGTTACAAATAAAATGTCTTTTCATTCTCCTGTTCAAGTGTAGTTCTACTCTTTAAAAATAATTCTGTATTTAAAAAGCAACACATGGGCACATTCATAGCTCTGTGTGCTTTATTAAATAATTCGGCGTTTGTTTCCAGCTTCTTCTGCTTCTTAGAAGCTTGGGATTTAAGATGGATGAGCAGGTATCCAGATCTTCTAGTGGATAAATTTCAATATTTAGATCCCAGGACAAGCATATTTTAAGATAAACAGCTTTGTCCTGGAGACAATGCTGGGAAGAAAAAAAAAAAAAAAAAAGGAAAATTTTAATGACTATTCTTGAGGTTCTTAATTTTGGTGGGTTTATTTTTTCCCCTAGATTAGAACCACACTTTAACTGCCATATCATGTTTAATTAACTTAAGCGTAACATGGCTTTGTGCCATCCAGTAACAAAGGCACTGTCTTGCTGCTACTTTCTGTGAAATTGTACACAATGAAAAAACTGTTTGGATGAGGAGCCTTAATATGGATAAAAAGAAACATAATTAACCCTTTGGGTGCCTTAAGCTAGATCCTGTTTCATGATGGGGCACTCACTTGCATCTGCAGGCACACAGCTTGTTTCAAAGGCTGCAAGAGAATTTGCCTTAAGTGACAATGCCCTGGGATTTCCAGAACTTGGAACTCAAAGGGTTATTTTAGACTACTGGTTAAAAAAACAAGTTCTAAACAGGGAACAAAATGAAAAGGTCTTTGAAAAATTCCTTTGCATACTATTGTTATTATTTGTACATGATGGGTTTTTCATCTTTGGGGACAAAATTATTGTTAAGCTTCTGGTAACAACATTGTTGGTTAAAGATTTCTACACAAGAAAAGAGAATACTTTGTATTCTTGTATGACTGTATGTGCAAAATAAATTGCTTTGTTAGGTGTAAATTCAGAGATGCACATCTGTGTGTTTACCTTGATGACTGTGTCCACACAGTAAACGGCAATAATTCAAATGAATCAAGGTCAGTGTGTTGAATTAGCTGATTACATATTAAAGATGCACAATGCAGGCAACTGTATACTAAAGACTTTCTACAAATGATGCAGTTTAAGCTTAGTTCAAACCTGCATCACAAAAATGAAGCTGTCAAGTTTAAATGCTACTCTTGCCATCCTAGTTAGCTGGAATTAAAGATTAGTGATTTTTTCCCTTGAAGGGAAAAAGTAGTCTAGGTACATACAGTGCTGAAAGCAATGGAAATAACAGGAGTCCTAATTCACAAAAAATGAGTAAAAAATTAATTGACTAATGTTCTTATTCTAATATGTGCACCTTTAGTTGTGTAATGGTCCCTTTAACTGAAGAATGGGATATAATTTTCTAGTTGCATACGAACTTCCTTGAAATAACCAAGAGTCTTGGCATTGCCTGGTCTGGCTTTGGATGTACATTGTACTGAAATTAAGGAATTTTAGGCATTTCTTTTAGACATTTAACTGAAAGTTAAAATGGCTAGTAAACTGCATTCTGACTGTAGAATTTAAGTACTAAATAAACTCTATGCATATTAGACCTGCTTCACTTGCTCTTATGTTTCATGCTGTTGTTGGATCGGTTGTAGCACAGTCTGCAGCTGCACCGAGTGCCCGAGCTGCCTGGCCCCGCTGGAAGGACAGCCCCGAGTGGCAGTGCAGACTGACACCTACCGTGCAGGGAAAAGATGAAAGCTGTCACTCTCTAAAGCTGCCAGAATCTTTATTCCCTTTTCTGTTCCACTGGACACACAACTTGGGAGCAGGGTGATCAGGCACTGGAATACAGGAGAGGCAGGCATACAGACAACAATCTATAAACTGGGTTTGCCTTACATTTCAGTTTTACAGAGAAGAATTATATTTAAAGAAACCATTAAATAAAACCGACAATTTATTGAGGCAAAGCTAGAAAGCAAAATAATGTGCAGCAAAACCCACAGGATTGTTTTTGCAGACCCTGGGCTTCCCTGGAACAGGATGTAAGCACCATGAAATGACATCACTGTCTCACTGAGAGCCCCTAGTGTTACATAATGTTTGCTAATGAGCATCAGGGTGGTGGGAAAGCTGAGGCAAGGACACCAAGTAATTCAGCAAGTCCATAAAGTCTGTCAGAGTGATCTGTAATTCAGAAAGCCATGGTTTGAGGTCGAGTGCAGCTCATGCTGTGTCTGTGATCTTCTGATTTCATCTGAAATTCTGTTCATACAAAGGAAGAGAAAGCTAAGCTAGCGATGGTTGCTCAGTAATTTGCTTTCATTTTACACTGGTGAATTAAAGGAAGCAGTTTGCCTTCCTCATGAAGCTTTTGAGTATCTGTTGCACCTCCAACACAAGTCCCATTGATAAACACTCTTGGGACCTATCAAGAAAACAAAAGTCACATTAGTTACTTCTTGGAGAAAAGGTAAACATTCAAGCAAGCCCATGTGGACTCCACTACACACAATTCTTGTGTTCATCTAGATGTGTGTATAATATTAGTGTATAACCCATACTTGTTCACAATATTTACAGAGATGGGAAACTGCATCTGCCCCTCAAAAGTGGGATGAAGTCACTGTGTGGGTGATTATAATAAATTCCAATAATTGAGTCAAGTGAGACTATGTAAAATAAAATAAAGGTGTTAAACACAATGGTCTAAATATACAAATGAAAAATGGCTTTGATACTTCAATTATTTCAGTGGCAGTATGGCAAATACCAGCTCTGAGGGATAGCCAGAGGGGTTCTAGAAGAAGAGACCTTGTGCAGTATTTAATTTAGGAGCTTATATCCCAAATTTACCTGTCTCAAATCAATTAAGGGCTTGCTATGGATATAACCCAAGAGTGATGTGTGTAGCCCAAGCTGTTACTTGTTAAGTATAAGAGAATATACTCACTGTTCTGCTACCAGTCATCTGTTCCAGAACATCTTGGAACTTCCTTCCATTTGTATTTTCATCCAGTTCCATAGCTGTGTAACTCACTTGCAAACCTTTAAAGAGGTCTTTTGCCATTTTGCAGTATGGGCATGTTGTTTTAGAGAAAATCACCACACAGTTGTGTGAAATAATGTCCTGTGTGCTCAAAAGAAAGTTAAAGGTCAGCGAACTTCAAGCCAATGCACTCAGAACACTATTGAACAGTCAGGAAAGTAATACAGAAGTTAAAAAGCTGCTGTTATCAGTAGCAAACACAGGAAAATCTGCTGACACCTCTGAAGGCAGGTTGGATTTGCATCTGGCTCCAAACTGAGCACAGCGATGGTGGAGTGTGTGGCACAACTCTGCTCTGCAGTCTGCCCAACTCCTTTTGTCCCCCTAAAGTGTTTAGGACAGTTTTCTCTCCCTGTAAGGCACTTGGGATGTGCCAGTGGCAAGCACAATGACCACAAGCAGTGGGTGGAAGATACATCCTTATCGCTTTACTGTAAATTCAAGGGGATTTCAGGCTATCATTAACTATCAGTAAATTTATAAAAAAACCCACAACTTCTAAAATATTTACTTGATATCAGTAATTTTACAAGGTTCTATCCCCAACGTCGACAGAAGCACTGAATTTGAGTAGAGGTCTGGAAAAATCCATAAAATGGCTGCAGCCTAGGAAGAGCATGTTCCAGGGCTGTGGATAAACAAAACTACCAGCATGGCTTGATAACCATAATGAACATAGGAACAGGTTCAACAGGCAGAACTATTTACAGTAATTCTTTGTGTAAATAAAAAAAAGTTTGAAGTAACAGGCTTTTATAAATGCTGAAAATCACCAAAGCAACATAAATAATGCTACCTGTATTTGATTCACAGCAGCATTAGACAGTCCTACAGAAGCGGTCTGGCTGTTCCCCATTCTAGAACTAAAAAGAAATGACAGTCAGATCTTCGAGCTTTCGAAGAATCGCCACATTGCCCTGTTTTGTTTCGGTATTTCACTGACTTCTCCATGAGAGTTGACTTGAGCTGCAACACCTGCAGCCACCCCGCTTCTCGTGTGCCTGCAGGACAGGGGAGCGGCGGGATGGCTGCGGCTGCGAGCGCCCGGCGGGGCCGTTACACGGGAAACGCTCCGCGCCGCCGGCGGTAACCGCACACACGCGTGTGTGACACCCGCGACACCGCGCTCCGATCCGCCGGTGGTAACCGCACACACGCGTGTGCGACACCCGCGACACCGCGCTCCGATCCGCCGGTGCAGCCGCACACACGCGTGTGTGACACCCGCGACACCGCGCTCCGGTCCGCCGGTGCAGCCGCACACACGCGTGTGTGACACCCGCGACACCGCGCTCCGATCCGCCGGTGCAGCCGCACACACGCGTGCGACACCCGCGACACCGCGCTCCGATCCGCCGGTACAGCCGCACACACGCGTGTGTGACACCCGCGACACCGCGCTCCGATCCCGCCTGCCGCGGGCCCGGCACCCCGCCCCGCTCCCGAGCCCTGCCCTCATCCTGAGCCCGATCCCGGACTCAATCCTTGTTCCGGTCCCGATCCCGGTCCTTGTTCCGGTCCCGATCCCGGTCCCTGTTCCAGACCGTGTCCTTGTCCCGATCCCAGTCCCGGCCCCGGTCCCTATCTCTATGCGTGTCCCGGTGCCGGTGCCGGTCCGGCGCCCCCGGCCCGCACTCACCGCCCCCCCCAGGCCGCCGCCAGCCGGCGCAGCGCCCCCTGCAGGGCCATGGCCGCCGCCGGAAGGGGCGGCGCTGCCCTCAGCCCTCACGGCGCTCTGGCGCCGCTCCTCGCAGGGCCCCGCGCCGCGCCCGGGGCTGCCCGCAGCGCTGCCCGTGCTCCGGGAGCGCCGGGACGGGACCGGGACCGGAACGGGGACGGGGACAGCACTGGGACAGGGACAGCACGGGATGGGGCAGCTTTCCCGGGATGGGGTCGGGAGGGCCATAAAGAGGGGCTGGATTTCCCAGAGGCCCCGGAGCCGCTCCTGGTGTGGGGGAAGTTGGGGAGATTTGGCCTCCTGCCCGGCTGGCTTCCTGATGTGAGCGTTTCAGCGCTGCCTTTGCTTTGTCCAGTGTCAAACTTACTTTAAGTCTTCTCCGTCCCCGTTTCTGTTGCCTGTTCTTCCTCACGTTTCTTTCCTGCCTTGCAGTTCCTCGGTCAGACACTGACCAGTGAAACAGGAGCGTTGGGAACGGAGTAAATAAAGGGTGGGGGATGAAGAGCTGCTCTTGGTACCTGGGAAGTTTGTTGGTGGAATTGGCTAATCATGTAATGTGTGGAATGTTTTTAGTGGCTCCTGGGAAAAAAAAAAAAAAAACACCAAAAAACCAAGAGGGAGAGGTCTTACTTTATGAGGAGGTGTTGGGTTTTTTATTTCCTCAGTCTGCCCAGTAGAAGCTATTCAACAATATTCTGTTATTTCACCCCCACATATCTTGCTGTGGAGCCTGGTCAAATACGTGTCCCTGGCAGAGCACTCCTGTGGAATATCCTCTGAGCAGCCCCTCTGGGGTCTGCACAGGTATTTCAGTATGGAGAAACTTTTCTAATCCCTCTGTGTTGAGAGTAATTGTGCTCTGGATCACTGTTCAGTGCTCAGCCCTATGTTTTAAAAAATGCTGCAAGGAAATGCACTCATGTACTGATTTGGTTTTGCTCATATGTGTCTGTAAAAAAGGGACTGTGTGCTCATACGTGATGTATCTTTCTGGATGTTGGTTAGTCTTAAATGAACTTACCTATGATGTAAATTTGTCTAATATTTTGCAATTTAATTTTGCTTTCCTACAAAACATAAGCATAACCTGTTAAAGTAGTGAGAAAATGCAGGTGAAACATTGTATCCATGTCATATACTTTCATTTTACAAAATGGTAACTTGCTCATTTCAGATAATGATTTTGTAGCCCAATGTTCTGTGATAAAGCTGATAAACTCTCAGGTATCTAATGCCACATGAAAATAGTTTCACATCAAATCCTGATTCAGTGATTTAAATGCTGGTTAACTGTGTCACTATGATCCCCAAAGCAAACTGTGGGAACTATTTTGTACACTCCCAGTTGAAGTGGCATGTTTAGAGTAAACCCACTATATTTTTGCATTAAATTTGGCATAAAATCACTCCCCTGGCATTCCAGCTACTCCTCAGATATCAGAGGGACTGGGACAGCTGGGTTTAGCTTCTGAGCCGTGGCCAATTCAGCAGCAGACATGCAGAGCTGGTGTGGCACTGGAAAGAGCTGACCTTTGGGGTTCCGCCCAGCCCAGCCCAGCCTGTGGTTCTGTGCTGGTGGTGAGTACCCTGTGTGCAGAGGTGTGTGTGAGCCACAAGCACAGTCAGTTGGGAGCCATGCAGCCAGCCACAAGCACAGTCAGTTGGGAGATGCCAGTGTAGCACTAAGAGTATGATCACAAGCACAGGCTGGCTTTCCGAAATTCCTGAGGTGCTTACCTGGTATAGCTGAGCGCTGGAGTCTGACCCAGTAGGTGTTCCTGTGGGGAGGAGCTAGGCAGAGCCCTCTGACAGTGCCAGGATACAGAGATGGAGTCTCCTCTGACCTCCCTTACCACTAAAGCTGTATTTATATTGTTTTCAGCGAGTGGCAGGAGAAAGTGAAGTTATGGCTGACATAATTTCCCATTTAAGTGGAGCTTGATTTTAGTCATGAGCATGTATGGGGGGTATTGACACAAAGCTGGGGCACGGCTTGGGTCATTCCTTTGGCTTAGTTCCTGTTACCTGCATTGTTCCTGCCAGAGCATGACCACGACAGCTCTGTGCCACTCCATCCTTTGTTTCCTATCTGCATTGATTTCAGCAGGGCGAGACCAACTCGCTCCCTGCTGCTGCCTGCTTTGTTCCTGCTCCCAGAGCAGCACGCCGCGCTCCCGCAGGGATCCTGCTCCTACGGGTGCAGGCAGCTTGTCCCCGCTGAGCACTGCCAGCACACAGACTCCTTCTTGCTCAGCTTGCTTTTGCAGTGTTCTCCCAGTGAAGGCAGCCTCAAATGAAAAAGGAAACCAGAACCACAACGTTTTCTGGAAACTTGAAAGTAAATCTCTTTGTAGCTGTGTGTGCAGCTGACTGTGCACTCTGCTCCCTGCGCAGCAGATTGGGGCAGGACTGAAATGAGCGGCTTTTTGGCTCATTGTAACCCACAAAAAGAAGTATTGCTTGTAGTGCAGCAGATGTACAGGATGTGTTTCTGAGGAGGTAGCGCTGGTTTAAGGGATACACTGGGCCTTTTGGATGAGGCATGGAAATGGGCCTTGGCCTGCTGGAAGCATTCCAAGCCCTGTTCCAATTTTCATTCCCAATCCAGTTCAGGAAATGATATTGTTTATTCATTATGTCTTTGTCTTCTAAACACACAAATATTACTCTATACCCATTGACAAATAAATATTGGCAGTGATTGGTATAATTCACCATGTTACTGGGTGTTGTAGTACATACTTGTGTGCTAGACTATTTCAATACCACATCTGGAATGTTTTAAATACACTTGTGGTGCTCTGCGTGTTGCTGTTCTGACACAGATGGGGATATCACTAAGATATTGAAACAGGGAATTCTATAGGCTGTTGGCTTTTGGTCTGTTTTCTCAGTCTCAGCACATGTGACTTACAAGAATGAAAATTAACCAATTCTGCCTCTTGCAAATTTAAGATGCCAGTGTTGGAGAGTGTTAGGAAAATCCTGAACATTGAAGGTTAGAATAAGTCATGATGAGAGCTTGCTTTGGGGGTCTCAGATCCTGCAATCAGTATTCCCAAGGGAGTACCAGTTTGTTTGGTTCTGCTGAGAATGCTATGCTCCCAGTTTTTGTGTGTTTGAGCAGAAGGAATTAACTTGGAACATGGAGAGCATGGAGAGAGCACATACCAGCTGCAGCTGTGCACTTGCTCAGGTGAGTAAACAGAGCAAACTGAGATCCCAAATTCTGCAGGGTAATGTGGGATGTGCTCCATGGCATTACTGTTTGTCCTTCTTCACATTTACAGGCAACATTTTCCTAATGACCTTTTTTTTTCTTTTGCTATGATCTTTTGATGGCTTATTTGTATCAGAATTAAAGGACATTTTTGTGATTGATAAAGCAGAGAATTCTCTGTCTTTTTTTTTACCCAGCTTTATATCCAGGATACAGGAGATTTTCTTTCCAGCCTGCAGAGCGAGATGCACGCACAGTGTCTGAGAGAATCAGAGTCACAGAATATCCTGGGTTGGAAGGGACCCACAAGGATCATTGAGCTGAACTCCTATTCCTGCACAGGACACCCTAATAATTCCAGCATGTGCCTGAAAACATTGCCCAAAAGCTTCTGGAACTCTGGCAGGCTTGGAACTGTTACCTGCCCTGGGGAGCCTGACCCATCATCCCTCATCTGGGTGAGGAGGCTTTTCCTGATGTCCAGCATAAACTTCACTGATACTGCTTCCTGCTGTTCCCTCTGCTCCTTTTACATTTTTCTTGAGGCATTCCTGTGACCCTGCTGTCCCAGCCCTTACCAACCACACACTGCTGGGCTCATGGTTGGGAGTGATGACATAAAACCCCCTTAACACCCCCAAACCCCTCCCAGGGCTCTTTAAAACCTCTTTAGTGTCACTAAAACCCCTCCAAGTACACCATACCCCATCCCAGCACCCCCAACAGCCCTCAAACCTCCTCAGCACCCCCAAATTCATTTTATCTCTCTCAGATGCCTCCCAGCACATCCTAAAGCCCCATTAGCACCCCAAATCCCTTTGAGCACCCTCTGAAGTCTCTTTAGCCCCACTAAAACTCCTCCTAGTGTACCACATGCTATCCTAGCATCCCCAAATTCCCCTCAAAACTCAACATCCCCAAAACCCTTTTTAGTTGTGCTTTAGCATCCACGAATCCCTCCCAGCACCCAGGAAAACCCCATTAGCAAGTCCAAATCCATGCCAGCATCCCTAAAACCCCATTAGTACCACCAACCCCCTGCCAGCACCCTCTAAAACCCCTTCAGCACTACCAAAACTCCTCGTTACCCCCGCCCAAAACCATCCCAGCGCGCCCGGGGAGCGCGGCGCAGCCGGGAGCACCAAAGCTCCAGAGAAGAGAAGAGAAGCAGCGCCGATAGACTTGGGCAGTGATTGTGTGCGAAGCTCTGTTTTCACATAATACACAAGAAAACCCCGAGTGCCCAGGACGGACAGAGCCGTCCCCACACGCCTCGCCCCGCCCGGGCCGCCCTGAGGGCGGGGCCGCCGTGAGGGCAGAGGGGCGTGGCCTCCCCAGCTGGCCCCGCCCCCTCCCGGGCGGGCGGGCCGGGCCTGCGCCGCTGCCATGGCAACGCGTCCGGCGTCGCCGCGAGCAGGCGGCGCGGCAGCGCTGGCTCAG